CCTTATGCCATCCCTTCTGGCCAGGATATGCCACTGAACCTGCAATCCCCTCAGGCCAGCCAAAGAGTCCAAAAGTTCAAGTGGTCACCCCATCCATGAATTCAAAAAAAAAAAAAAAAAAAAAAAGGTCCAAAAGCCAATAACTCTGAATTTGTTTGCGATCTTGCCATCCCGAATGTATCTGACTCCAAACGTTCTCGTTGAAGTTGCCCGCTTTGTCCCCTCGTGACATTTTGGTTTTTATTATTTATTTATTTATTTATTTATTTATTTATTTATTTTACATTTTGTTTTTTACGACATTACCGCCAACGCCTTCTGCCGGCGTTTTTGCTGTGAAAGTCCCGCGCTATTTTAGCGGCTCGCTGCTCTGCTCTCCACATGCACAAAAGACAAAAAAGATGGAAATGTATCTTACCATGTTCTGGAGGTACATTCAGTTTCATTTTGCACGTTTGGAGAGTAGTGCAGCGAGGTCGTTATAGGTAAGCTATATTCTTCTCTCATCGATCTCATTTTTCTTGATCGTACGCATCTATCTCATCCTCTCACTATTCTATGTATAGTATGGGGGAACACCAACCAACCGGGATCCCTCCCCAGCCCACAGGGTAGGTTGGCACCACAGCTGTGGTGCGAAGGCAAGGCTGTACCAGTCCCTCATCACGGTGACGAGATGGGGTTCGGGCTCAAGGCCCTCGCTGCACTACTCTCCACATGCACAAAAGACAAAAAAGGTGGCGGTGTATCTTTCCATGTTCTACAGCAAGATCCATTCTCATTTTGCACATTTGGAGAGTTGTGCAGCGGAGCACCTTTTGCCCCGTTTGCGCGGGGAAATGAATACAAAGGTCTCTTGGCAGGGGGCTTTTATAACTTCTCCCAAAAAAAAGTCATCTCATCTTTTTGGGGATGGGTGTGGGGGCCAGGGAGTCTTGAGGGGAAAAAATAAATCAATCAACCAATCAGATTCTCCCTCCCTCCCTCCCTCCCTCCCTCGCCTCCCCCTCTCCCTCTCCCCATGCGCACACGGAAATGGTAAGCGCACACGTGAACCGCGCCTGCACACACACACACACACACACACAGAGAGAGAGAGAGAGAGAGAGAGAGAGAGAGAGAGAGAGAGAGAGAGAGAGTTGTTGAAAAATGTTAAAAAGCAGGGGGGTAGGCCAGAAGTCAGGGCACCCCCGTAAAAGTCTTGTCTTTTAAAAGGGGGTCTAACGACCCCTAAAAGAAGTTTGCCGCGGGCCGTTCGAACGTTCGACCGAACCTTCCAACGGAAGTTCCAAACGGTTGTAAACTACACACTGCTCCCCGTTGTTGATCCCACTTGACCTCCTCGAGAACACGTGGAGGCGCCCCCCCCCCCCCTACCCTCTGTTGCAGGCTTGCAGCTGAGGTACGGGCGTGCCTCTGACTGGCATTGAAACTGGACCAGTCCGGGACCAGGTTCCGGACCAGGTTCCGGACCAGGTTCCGGACTGGCATTATAGCAACTGTGGCCACTCCACCATGTGGGCCATAATTTTCCCCGACTGGCATTGAAACTGTGACGACTCCACCATGTGGGTATTCGATGAAGCCTACCGGGTAGGAAGGAGGAGCAATCACTCACACTTCTTGCGGGATGTCAGGGCTTCAGAACGGGTGGGCATGGCGACTCCACCCTCCTCTCATCTCCCATCTGCTGAGAGAGGAGGAGTCCCGCCTTTGGGCCTCGCCGCACCACTCTCGAAATGTGAAAAAGGCAAGACTGGGGCGGTTGCATCTGGCCATGATCTATCGGGAAGTGCATTTTCATTTTGCACATTTCGAGTGGTTTGGCGAGGCCCTGCATAACGGCTGGGCATTTGATGAAGGCCCCTGGCCAGCAAGCACTCACACTTCCTGCTTGTCTTCGACTCTTCGGCTATCGTTCCTGGCTTCGTCTCCATGGATTCCAAGGCCTCGCTGGGCTTCTCTCCAAATGTGCAAAATGAGAATGAATCTTCCGCTAGAAGATGGAAAGATACACCGCCATGTGGAGAGTACTGCAACGAGGGCCATATAAACCGCTGGGCACGTGAGTCTGCCCCATGCACTGCCTGCAGAGCTCTGAAGCAACAATGACGAGAGCTGAGTAAACCCAATAGATGAGGGCTGCCCATGACTGCGCTTTTTTTTTTTTTTTTTTTTTTTTTTTTTACCTTGACTGCACTTTAGGACCTGACGAATGAGGAGAATGGATATCATGGCCCTAGCTCAACTACTCACCCAACTGTGCTAAATGAGAATGAATCTTCACCTAGAAAATGGAAAGATACGCCGCCATATTTTTTTTCCGTCTTTTGTGCATGTGCAGAGTAGTCGAGCGAGGCGCCATGTCTTCCCTCACTATCCGACGAATCGTACCGTTGTTGTTCTGGAAAATCAGAATCTGGGCGTAATCACTCTGGGACCGTTTTCGTCTGTTTCCTGGGCGAGATGGCGGTCGTGTACATCCAGCGTGGACCGTAATTCCGGTCACATACGTCGAGGATAAATCTATTGTGGCTGGACTCTCTCTGGAGCAAGCAAATCACCACCAGAACGAAGGTGAAGGGGCGAATGGCGGGAAGTGAATTCGCCACCGCATGAATGGGACCGAAATGATGTCCATGGACGCCATTTCGGTCAGATACATCCAACGTGGACCGTAATTTCGGTCACATATACGTCCAGGATGGTAGCTCTATTGTAAGCAAGAGAACAAATCACCACCAGAAAGAAGGTGGAGAGACGAATGGCGGGAAGTGAATTCCCAACCGCATGTACATGACCGAAATGATGATTTTCATGGACGTCATTTCGGTCAGATACATCCTGCGTGGACCGTAATTCCGGTCACATTCGTCCAAGATATAGCTCTATTGTAAGATAGAAAAGAAATCACCACCAGAAAAGGAAGGTGGAGAGAGGAATGGCGGGAATTGAATTTCCCATCGCATGTATTCGACCGAAATGCTGTTCATGGACGTCATTTCGGTCAGATACATCCTGCCTAGACCGTAATTCCGGTCACATACGTCCAGGATACTACCGGTGGGGATGCACTCTCAGTCTCTCACTGAACCAGGGCGGAGATCAGCCACAGAAGTAAGGCGGAGAGAGCAATGGCAATGGTTGGAAGTGTGTTCATCGGAGTAGCTGTAAGTGAGTGCGCACCCCCAGACTGAGAATCAACCCCGATCTCACAAATGTGTTTCTCCTCATTTGCTGTGGAATTGGTGTAATACTCAGAGTGCTTTCGTGTACACCGGCGCAAAGCACGAATAACATCGTTTCCACAGCCAGGCGGGCAATCTTCAGGCTTGTTGATGAAAATGGAGTCGCATCGTTCTTGCTGATATTTCAGCCGTTCCTGAAACAGCCACACAAAAGTTGTGACAAAACCACAAAGCGAGCGCATTAGGTTTAAGGAATCACATCGGCTGGAGAGCTGGCGGGTCTGTTCTGAGTAGCTTCTTCTTCTTCTTCTTCTTCTTCATTTTTTTTTTATTTTTATTTTTGGGACACACAATCTGAGCATTCTTTGAGTATTGAAGGGGGAAAGTACGTTGATGTCACTTTTGAGTATTGAATGAGCGCATCTTCCTCTGAAAGTGATCAGATGCATCTCTTACTATTCATAGCAATGGATTTGGAGTTTCGAAAAAGCAATGAAACACCCGCGGACAAAGCAATGAAACCAGTCTCTGGGTCTAGGAGTTACCAGATGCAGACTATTTTTACTGAGCTTCAAGATTTACTTTTGGAAGGATTAATAGAATGAAAGTTGCGGACGCTGGACCTGGTTTCCAGCAGAGCCGAAAAGTGGGTATTGACCCAAGAGCCTAGCTCAGTGGGTACACCCATGAACTGTGGAAATGCAGACCTGTGTTCAAATCCAGATGATGGAATTCGACGAGTAAAACCAACTACTAATGACTTGCTTGGGGCCGGTCAGGTCAATGATAATATCTCAAGGCCGTCACCCATTTAAAATAAAAAAGAAAAAAAAAAGAAAAAAAAAAGAAAACTGGGTATTGGCCCCAGGGTTCTTCTGGGTTGTTTGTGAGGTATTCCCGCCCGTCTCTTTCTGTTGGCAATAAAAGTTTTAATTCTTCCAAAAAAAAAAAAAAAAAAAAGAGCAATGAAACACATGCCGACAAAGAAAACTTGGAGGTTCTTTTTTTTTTTTTTTTTTTTTTTTATACTTTTTAACTCAAATACCATTCGTATTAAAACACAGAGAGAACCTAGGCCGGGGACCTCACAATTCAACCCGGAATTATCCTGCCAGCATTAGCCAGTTTTGCTTATAAGTCTGGCAGAACCGGAACCAAAGTCTAATACCAATACCAAGCAATCTCTCTCCTTTTTTGTTACCCAATTTCGCTTACGGCCCAATACAATACAGCTCGTGAATCCTTCAAGAACTACTGCTAATCTATGAAGTAAATCCTGCCTAACTAACTCAACCTATAGAATTCACCAGAGTTTCCACGGCAGGTGCTGGGTTACCAATCAAGTCTACGACCGGACCGAAATCAACCAAGTAAACAAATTCAAGCTCCGAGATAAGTTCGCCGCCCTGGGCTCTTCCCTTCTTCGTGCAGTTTGCAATGTATTTACCCCATAAATGGGCAGAATACTGCAGTAGATAACACTTGAATTCTGGAGGTTGAAGGTCGTAGGAGGGATGGGAACCACCCTGCTCCCTGATATTCCACAGAGAGACGCAGCCCCTTATCAAGGCTGAGGGTGGTGGCCGAACCTAGAGAGTACCGAGTACTCCATAGCTCCACCCCCACACCCCGAATCCCACGCCTTGCTGCCGACGCAGAGCGCCACCTTCTCCGAACGGTGATACCATCGGTAGCGCAGCGCTTCAACGGAGCGCTGTCCTCCTCCGCGCTCCTTTCAAATTCCAAATATTATCATGTATGTTTGTCATGAAGTAAGCCACTCATAAGGAGTATTTAGGAAGGAAAATGGCAAGGTTAATCATCGTTAATGTACTCTAAATATTTCGTGTAAGAGGATGTCTTGGTTAGTGCTCAGCGCCCTTGATCCCAACGGAGATGCTCCCACTACCACCAGAGGAACTCCTACTCCCATTGGTGGCACCGCTACCCGTCGAGCTTCGGGTCTTTCACGCTCCCAGTCCAGATAGTCAACAGTAGTTCTCACGTAATCCTCCCAACTCCCAACAGCAGTCCCACCACCACCGGCTGCCCACCCACTGCCTCCAGAGTTGCCACTGTTGGGCGTGCCCGCTGTCTTGTACTAGACTCTCTCAGAGTCTCTCTCCCTTTGTCGTGTTCACACTGCCATGAGTTTCTTTACTTGAACCTTGTAGATTGTCTGTTGTAGGAGGAACCGGAATCGCCCTGCTCCCTGGTATTCCACAGGGAGACACAGCCCCTTGTCGGAGCTGAGGGCGATGGCCGAACCTAAACCTAGAAATCAACGAAGAAGACATCGTTCCGCCCCACACCCCAAGTCCCACAACTCACTGCCGATGCAGAGCGCTGCGGTCTCAGGACAGCGAGCCCCACACCTCGCTGCCGACGCAGAGTGCTGCCGTCTTCGCTGGTAGCGCAGCGCTTCTTCTTTTCCAAAAAAGCAATGAAAAAAAAAAAGAAAACAATGAAAGTGCCAAAGAGCCTTGCCACGAGAAAAGTACAAGTGCATCTTCCCCGGAAAGTGATCAGATGCATCTGTTACTATCCATAGTAATGGATGCATCTGGCCGTTAATTTTGAGAGCATGCAGTCGTACTTTTTTCATTTCGACAGTGGTGTGGCGCACTGGCGAGGCCCAAAGGCCGTAGTGTCATAACTACAGGGGTAGGCCGTGATGTCAGACAGGAAAATGAGGAAAAAAAGGTGTTGCAGGCCCAAAAATTCTTAACTTTCTTTTACATCACCAGTACTTCCTCGAGTAGTGCCCTTTAACGCGCCACGGTTCTAGGGAACGTACCGGCTACTACAGGAGTGCCCAAATTCATCCGACTAGAAACGTTTCTCCGCTTTTTTTTTTTCCGCGGCCTATAGCTGGGCCAAGTACTTGTGGTTCAAAGAAAATAGATAAGGGGTAACTAGGGCGCAGTCACAAAAAAGGAGTTTGTAAATGCATTTGAAACTGCCGTTTCGCAGTCCAGTCCGGTCCGGCAGGCGGCTGTTTTTTTTTCCTTTCTTTTTTTTGAAGCACATATTTTTTGGAAGGGGTAACAAAGACGGCGCCAGGAGATGAGTAGAGGGCTATGGCCAACGAACCGATCACATGGGATGACGGGAGCAGTCGCCTCTAGATGGTCAAACCTCTCCATGGCCTCGGATTGCACCAGTGTTTGAAAAGGTAGTGCAGAACTTTCCTCCTCAGTGGTCATGGGAACATTTTTGCTCCTCCTCCGTAGTAGTAGTTGGGGGATAGCATTTGAGTATGGGCGAAGGTCTAACAACTACCCTCCATTTCAGGGATCGACTCCCAAGGACTGTGGAGTCTGCCTCAATCTCCGACTGAATGATAAAGCCTATTCATTGGAACCATCCATCACCGTCCTTTGACTAGTGTGTGTGTCACAGTGTGTGTGTGTGTGTGTGTGTGTGTGTGTGTGTGTGTGTGGGTCACAGCGTGTGTGTGTCACAGTGTGTGTGTTTTGTGTGTGTGTGTGTGTGAGTGTGTGTGTGTGTGTGTGTGTGTGAGAGAGAGAGAGAGAGAGAGAGAGAGAGAGAGAGAGAGAGAGGTGCACAATTTCTGTGGCATTCTGAGTCTTTCTGACCCATTGTGAGCAATTGAAATCATTCTCAATTTTGAATCTCAAATATTTATGCTCAACAGTTTTGCCTTGTAGTAACGAACGTCACCGCTGAACTCCCGATTGAGAATTTGAGCGACAAGACAAATTTCATTGAATGATAGCAACTCACCTTATAGCATGGCCCATAGCGGGCTTCATAGAAATCCTCCTCACCTCCCAGCTCTCTTGCACCTGAACGCGGAAACCACTCCACTTTATCATCGTCCTGACCATGGTGAGTATGACAATCAGTCTCATCAGATGCTTGTCACCATTCTCATGGCCATCATCACCACCATAGGCACCACGCCCTCTATACCTTAATGAGTGGAAAAAGAGTTATAGATCCCCCCCTCGACAATAGGTTCATAGTTTGTTGCCCCCCCAAGTGCCAGCGGCGCCCAGGGCGATCATTTGCTTTTGCAACCAGCTTTCGGGGGCCTGGCGCCGCTGGAGGACATTTTGCCACGCCCGGGGGACAAACAAGTACAAACGTTTTGTCGCAGGGGAGATCTACAACGTTTTCCTAACGAGTCCCACGGACTCCCACCCT